GGATCCGGGTACTGAAATGGCCAGCCTGCAGTCCAGATCTTTCACCTTTAGAGAACATTTGGCACATCATAAAGAGGAAGGTGAGACAAAGAAGGCCCAAGACGATTGAACAGTTAGAGGCCTGTATTAGACATGAATGGGAGAGCATTCCTATTTCTAAACTTGAGAAACTGGTCTCCTCTGTCCCCAGACGTCTGTTGAGTGTTGTAAGAAGAAGGGGGGATGCCACACAGTGGTAAAAATTGACTTGTCCCAACTTTTTTGGGATTTGTTGACGCCATGAAATTTGGAAACAACAGATTTTTCCCTTAAAATTATACATTCTCTCAGATTAAACTTTATATCTTTGATTTGTGTTCTATTCTGAATAAAATATTAGATGTTGGCATCTCCACATCATTGCATTCAGTTTTTGTTCACAATTTGTTTAGTGTCCCAACTTTTTTGGAATTCGGTTTGTACAAAACAGATTGAGCAGAGTAAGTAAAGACAGTAGTAGAGTGAAAAGTGTGGTCAGTTTGTCCTCCAGCAGTCTAAGCCTATTGCAGCATAACTAAGGGACAGCTCAGGAAACCCAAGCCGACCCTAACTATAGGATTTATCAAAAAGGAAAGTCTTAAGCCTAGTTTTAAAACTGGATAATGTGTCAGCTTCACGGACAGAGATTGGAAGTTGGTTCCACAAGAGAGGAGCCTGATAACTTAAAGATCTGCCTCCCATTCTGTTTTTTTTATTTTTTTTATTCTAGGAACCACAAGTAAACCTGCAGCCTGAGAGCGAAGTGCTCTGTTAGGAAATTATGGAACAATAAAATCTGTAATATAAGATGGAGCCAGGTTGTTGAGAGCTTTTTAGGTTAGAAGTAAGATTTTGAATTCTATTCTGGATTTGACAGGGAGCCAATGGAGAGAAACTAAAACTGGAGTAATATGATCTCTCCTACTAACTCCAGTTAAGACTCTGGCAGCAGCATTTTAGATCAACTGAAGACGTTTTAAAGAAACCAACAAAGTCCGTGCTCAATAATCCAGGTGTACAATCCAACAATTTTCAGTCAGGTCATCTGGACAATTTCTTTTTTGTTTGTGCTGAAATGTTTCACCTTCATCTTAGCATCAACATAACTGGTTTGTTCCACTTTGGAGTAAGCTGTTGGGGGAAGAATCATGTTTATGTTGTGTATTTCTTTGACTGATGAAGCCTTCTCGATGTAAGGTGAAACGTTTCAGCACAAAAAAATGAAATTGTCCAGATGACCTGACTGAAAATTGTTGGACATTTTAAAGAAGTATTTGGACACCCATATAATAAACCATTGTAATAGTCCGGTCTAGACGTGACAAATGCATGGACCAGTTTTTCTGCATCATTTTAGATAAGATGTTTCTAATTTTAGTGATATTACGCAGATGGAAGGAAACAGTTCTAGTAACGTTTTTAATGTGGGGGATAAAAGACATGTCCTGATCAAAAATAACACCAAGATTTTTAACATTAGAGCTGGAGGACAGATTAATGCCATCTAAGGAGGGAGAAAGACTGAAAAATGCATTCCTAAGGTGCTCAGGTCCAAAAACCAAAACCTCAGTCTTGTCTGTGTTCAACAGGAGAAAATTAAGGATCATCCAGGTTTTTATGTCTTTAAGACATGCTTGTAGTCTAAGTAGCTGATTGGATTCATTGGGTTTAATGGACAAATATAATTGTGTGTCATCAGCATAACAATGATGACAATGATAACAATCATGTGCCACTGATTGATGAGGGAGGTAAAGTGTATTTGTTGATGCATCACATTGCAGACATGGAATTAATTTTCATTCATCCATCCATTATCTTCCACTTATTCCGAAGTTAGGTTGTGTGGGCAGCAACTTGAGCAGGGAGGCCCAGACATCTCTTTCCACAGCTACCTCTTCCAGCTCTTCTGGGAGGACCCCAAGGTGTTCCCAGGCCAACTGAGAGACATAGTGTTTCCAGCATGTCCTGGGTCTTCCCCAGGGTCCCCTCCCAGTTGAACATGCCCAAAGCACCTCCCTAGGGAGGCGCCCAGGGAGCATCCTTACCAGATGCCTGAACCACTACAACTGGCTTTTCTCGATGTGGAGGAGTAGCGGTTCTACTCTGTGTCTCTCCCAGATATCTGAACTTCTCACCCTATCTCTAAGGGAGAGTCCAACTACCTTGTGGAGGAAACTCATTTCGACTGTCTGTATCCACAACCTTGTTCTTTCTGTCATGACCCAGAGCTCATGACCATAGGTGAGGGTAGGAACGTAGACTGACTGGTAAACGGAGAGCTTTGCCTTACAGCTCAGCTCTCTCTTCACCACAACGGACCGGCACAGATTCCGCAATACTGCAGACGTCGCACCAATCTGTCAGTCTCACGCTCCATTCTTCCCTCACTCGTGAACAAAACCCCCAGACACTTGAACCCTTCCACTTGAGGCAGAACCTCAACCTCGACCTGAAGAGAGCAATCCACCCTTTTCCGGTTGAGGTCCATGGCCTCAGATTTGGAGGTGCTGATTCTCATTCCAGCTGCTTCACACTCTGCTGCAAACCGCCCCAGTAAAGCTGAAGATCACGGCACAATGATGCCAACAGGACCACATCATCTTCAAAGAGCAAAGATGTAATCCTGAGGCCACTGAACTGGAAGCCCTCCGCCCCCTGGCTGCACCGAGAAATTCTGTCCATAGAAGTTATGAACAGAATCAGTGACAACAGGCAGCCCTGATGGAGTCCAACTCCCGAACCCTGAGGGGGTCCGACTTACTACCGGCTGAATTAATTTTCAAATGTTAAAAATTTTATTTGCTTTTGTTTAACTGTGTTGCCCCTTTCAAAGAGTGAGCAGCGTAGTTGCTATGTGTTTCCATTTGTCCTAGCAGAGTTACCGTAGCTTCCTGTAATGTAAATATTCTGCGTTAAAGCTGTGGGTTTTCACATGTTCTTTTTTTTTTCTTTTTGCAAAACCCTGATAATACATCTTTCAGTTGTGAGGCCTACCTCAGAGGAGTTGACGGGGAAGAGGGTGGGCCCTGGATGCTGTCTTATCACCATCAAATTGTTTTTTTCCACTGTGGGCGTGTGCTGTTTGTGGGACTCAGTTTGTTGGTGGCTCCTCAGATTGAATAAGTTCTTTGGATGAAGGATGAAACGTCTCATCAAAAAAAAAAAAAAAATAAATCCATATGACCTGACTGAACAGTGTTGGATTATTACCTGGATTATTGAGCATAGATTTTGGTGTTCTGTCAATAATAGTGGAAGTTATCATGAGCGTCTTTAGTTCTGACTTTATAAAGCATTTGGTTTGTGTATAAATTGTGATGAACACGATCCTAAACATGTTGGATTAGCATATGTGTGTTGGTCAACAGATTAATGATCAGTAGGGGTTTTTGACTTGTTATGGCACTCTTGTGAATATTCCAAACAACATTTAATTATGTAAGAAACGCCATAGTTATTTCAGTTTTAGTATAATTGAAATGCATGGATAACTGTTTAGTAATGACATCACAGCCCTCTGAATATAATCAAACTCTATGGTGCCTAAAAATTGTGTAATTGCTTAAATTAATAATTGAGACCTAACGGGCAGTTTTCCTGCAACTGAAGTCAGTTTTTGTATTGATGCGGGCGTGTGTGTGTGTGTCCCAGATTTGTTGAAACAGCAGATTACGTCCTTGGACTAAAAATAGCTCATTGGATTCATGGAGATACAGAGCATGAGTCAGCAGTTCTTTTTCCAGCTCTTCTGTAGATCTCCACTGAGCCGTGGATCTTGAAGCTGCAGTTCAGCTAGGAGTTTTGAGGAGCAGCGATTAAAAGCAGAATCAGAGACGTCCGTTCAGCGTGTTAAAGTTTACAGCACATGCAGCATGATCTGCTGCTCCTGTGTGGGTGGACGTAAACCAGCGCCATCATCACTGTTCTCTGCTTTGTGACAGGTGTACTGCACTCCATGCTGCAACCAAAAATGCAAGCTCAAGTACCTGGGAAAAGAGGCTCGTGTGTGCGTCTTCTGCTATATTCTCATAAACAAAGGTAAGGGCCTGCTTTTGTCTGCTTTGATAGATAAATCCTGTGTTTAAATCAGACTTCAACTCGGAGGTTTCTGGTCTTCCTAAACTCCTCAGTCTATAAAACTAAAACAATAAAACCCCTAAACATGAAGCAGCATATAGCCACTTCCATATGCCCGAGATGTAAATGTACAATGAACATCTTAGAACAAATATGGCAGCTTTGATGGGCATCGACTTTTTGACTGAATCACCCAGTTTTTGGTATGACTGATTATTGTAAGTGACGCAGGCAGCCAGAAACACTCACACACCAAACATGCTTTCAGAATGGAGCTATACAGAAAGTTAGTCACATCTCTGAAGCTCACAAATTATAAAAAAGTGTTAAGTTGGAAATAAGCTAAAAAGGAAGAACCACCAAGAGTTTTGGAATAACAAATTTATTGCGACATTTAAAACACAGGAATTGTATGAATTTTTTAAAAAGACAAAAAAAACTACTGGAACAGTTACAGTGCCTGAATTCTGCACACTAGTTCTAAAAATATATTTTATTATGCAGAAATGCATAAATAAAAGTGTTCATCACTATATGCAGAAACTTGCATATACAATCTTAGACAGTAAAACAAATGTTTTTGTTGCCTCAATTATTTACATTTGTGTTTGTGTGTTTACAATGTACATTGGAGAACACTTATATATGTTAGAACATTAAAGATATTTGAAGAGTCAGTATTTACATTTTGCTGTCCAGTTCTTGTACTTCCTGCACATTTTCAGTCTGTTCATGTTTTTCTTAAACAGAAATGTTTTATTTGTTGTCCTTTTTGTCACAAGGCTGTTGTTCAAGTCTTTTCAGAATTAAGATGCATGTGATCACTCTGTGCTTTAAACACAATGTGAATTGTTACCACAAAATCTGAAACTGCAAAAGTTTAATAAACCCGATTGTGTCACCGGCAAACTCTAGCTGCTTGGATTCCTCTTTTTATGTAAATCAAGCAGCAAAGTTGTAGTTCAAGATGTTCAAGACAATTTGCCTTGATAATAAAAGTTAACGTTTCAAAAATAAATGAAAAATAAAACCATTACATGATTGTGCGTAAAAGAATGAAACAAATTCAATAACATAAGGTGGCAAGAGGGACCCTGAGGAACTAAAGTGGTGAATAAGTGAGGGAAGTGCAGGACATAAGGACAGTGAGACCCTGGTGATAGTTAGGAGATTGAAGGGGAAGGTTTATGGTTTTGAAATGGTGACACTAATAACACAAAGAACAAACACAAAGGGGTGGATCTGGAGATGGTAGAAGGCAAATATTACGATATTCATTGAGGACTTCAGCCTTCTCAATAACTTTATGAGTAGGAGGCTAGAGTCATTTCACAACATCAACACTAGGGGTGCACTGATTGCAGTTTTCTGGCCGATCACCGATTTCTAAAAAAGCCTGAACTGCCGATTCTAATTTTGGCCGATACCGATTTTGTTTTATAAGCGACACCGTCAGGTGTTATAAGGTCACAATGACCTTCAATTATCCAATCTTATTTTATTGTAAAACATACCCTTGAACAGTATCCTAGAACAATCCAAACTTTTTTAATTGGCCGTGAGGTAGTGCTCTGAAATATAAATGAAGTTTAGACAATTGTTAAAACAAAAAAACATTGGTAAAATCGGTTTCTCGTGCAAGTATCTTCCGATTTCCCAAAATTAAGCATATCGGGGCTGATAAATCCGATTTATCGGTGCACCCCTAATCAACACATGAGGTGTCAAACTCCAGACCTCGAGAGCCGGAGTCCTGCAACTTTTAGATGCGTCTCTGATGCCGCACAGCTGAATCATATGACTGAATTAGCTTCTCAGTGCAGTCAAGTTCTCCAAAGTCCTGCTAATGACCTCCTTATTTGATTCAGCTGTGTGAATCCAGCATCATAAGACATGAAGAGTTATGAAGTCATTATCAGCAGCAGCTGTCAATTTTGTAGAGCGAGATATCGTACATTTTCAAGGATCTTAATATTTATTTTACAGTGACATGTTTATTGTTCATCGGTGGGGCAGAAAGGGGTGTTTCTGTGGGTGAAGGACATTTCAGTAGGCAGGGTGCTTGCTTCTGTTGACAGGGTGTGGCACCCTCTTTGGTTAACCGTAGGAGAAACACTGTTGTTCGGTTCTCCAGAGCTTATGCTTATGTTGTTATGTTGCAACTCGTTCATGTCTAAAGAGAATAAAAGTGGAGATGGCCCACAATGTGTTCCTTCATGCTCATCTGCTCACACAGACTCATGTTCGTGCTGCTGTTTGACATATTGTTTATATACTACTAGTGCTTAGTGTATCTTTAGTTAACATTTTTCTTAGTCCGTATCTTAGATCTTATTACTGTTTTTCTGTTACATTTTAATACTTTTGTTGGATGTAACTGGGACCCTGTGTACACAATTTTGTTCCACCACGTGTACCACATGTGGTTCGAATGACAAATAAAGAACATTGAGTCCTTGAATCCAATCCTGTGGAACGCCAGTGTTCAGAACCCTGCAGTCAGATAGTGTCATCAACACAGACTCTGGTTCTTTCTCTCAAAAACTCTCTAATCCACAACACAAGGTGGCTGCTGACATTTAGATCACATAGGCATTTTAAATGAATATGTGGCTGAGCCATATTAAAAGCAGATGAAAGGTCCGTGAATAATATGCAAACATATGTCTTTGGATTGTCAAGTGGCATCCTCTACCCCTCGGTTAGTCCTATTGGCAAACTGCATGGGGTCCATATGTTCAGCTGTAAAAGACATGAGTTCCCTACACACCAGATGTTCCATACATTTAAAATACAGATGTGAGGGCTATTGGTATAAAAAAATCAGTGCATTTGCATTTGTTGTTTTGGGCACAGGGACAATAGTTGGTGTTTCCCATGCTTGAGACAAAGCTAGTATTAAGGAACAACATGAACATCTGTTTGAACACAGGACCCAGCTGTGTGGCACATTCTTTTAACACCCTTCCTTTAATGTCATCTGACCCAGCTGCTTTATGAGGAATTGATTTTCTGAAAAATTTAAATGACTTCCTTCACCTGCAATTCCACAGAAGTTGGTGTCAAGGCTGCACAGAAAGAGTCAATCTCATCACTGAAGTCATGGATGTCAAATCTTGAATAATGAACATTTAGTTTATTTGCGAGACCAAAAGGGTCAGTGTGCTGAAGGGAATCTTTTTGTTTCCTCCCCATTATCGTGTTCAGTCCCTGCCAGGCATCTCTTGCATCAACTTTTATCTTTATAATTTATTTTAACTTTCTTCATCCATCCATCATCTTTACCCGCTTCTTCCTTTTCGGGTTGCGGGGGTCACTGGTGCCCATGTCCAGCCGTCACTGGGCGAGAGGCGGGTAACACCCTGGACAGGTCTCCAGTCCATCACAGGGACACATGGAGAAAAACAACCATTGACTCTCTCACTCACACCTAGGGACAATTTAGAGTTACCAGTCAGTCTAACATGCATGTTTTTGGTCTGTGGGAGGAAACTGGAGCACCCGGAGAAAACCCACGCATGCACGGAGAGAGCATGCAAACTCCACCCAGAAAGACCTCCGGACTGGGACTTGAACCAGGGTAACCTGCTCGCTGAGAGGCAGCAGCTCTACCAGTTGCACCTCTGTGCTGCCCAACTTTCTAATTATACAACTTATTTCCTTCTCTAGTTCCATCTTCTTTTTCATATCTCCTCCTTTTAAAGCTGCTTTCTTTTGGTTTAGAAGATACATGATTTCTTTATTGGCCCAATGTTTGTTGTTAGGGTAGAATCTGACTGTTCTTGTTTTGATAATATTGTCCACACGAAATTTAATATAACTGGTGATTGTAAAGTTCAGCAGTTCAGAATTGTTGGCAGAGACCTCCTCACTGAAGACCAATGTCCAGTCAGTCAGTTCAAAACAAGTCCTCAGCTCATCAGCAGAGTGTTGTCCAGCACTGGACGTTCCTAACAGTAGGCTTTTCCCTTTTCAGTTTCTGCTGATGTTTTGGCAGCAGGTGAATGACGTTATGGTCAGACTGGCCGAGGGGTGTTAAACATCTGGCCACGTAAGCACCCTCCAAGTTACCAAAGCATTTATCAAGAATCTTGTCTTTCCGTGTCGGACTCAGACAGGTCACATATTGTTCTAAATTTGGGAGATAAGTGGGAATATCACAACCATTAAAGTCACCAAGTAGAAAAATGGGGTCGTCCGCGGAGTGACGTTGCGCCTTGGTGTAGCTGTCACTTATGTGCTCAGCTGCTAAAGTGACGTCCGGGCCAGGCACGTAAACCAGAATAACAGTGATCTGTCCGAACTCAAGGGGCACATAGCAAGGGCGAAAGGGTACAGTCATTATCTCCTTGTGTTTCGAACTGTTAGCCTGACGGATCGTGATGTTTGCTGCCCAGCTGTTTTCCACAAACATACACAACCCACCTCCAGTGCTTTTCTCCGTGCACTGTGTGTCTCTATCGAATCGGATTGTCGTATATCAGAGTCAGAGATTCTTTATTGTCATTCGCACCTCATGTGGTACATGTGGTGGAGCGACATTATATACACAGGGTCCCAGTTACATCCAACAATAAAATGTAAAAGAAAAACAGTAATAAGATCTAAGATATGAACTAAGAAAAACATAAACTAAAATATACTAAGCATTAATAGCATAAAAACATTACGTCGAACAGCAGCACGAACATGAGCATGAGTCCGTGTGAGCAGATGAGCACGAATGAACACATCCACATGAAACAGATCAGCAGCAACATGACGTGATTCTTCAGTGATTATTCTGGTTAGAGATTCATGAGTCTTAACAGCCTCAGGGTAGAAGCTGTTGGTCTTCCAGCTGTTCGTTATATGCTCAATTTCCTTTTTCCAGCCACTTATTGCTACTTGTCCCAACTTTTTTGGGATTTGTTGACACTGTGAAATTTTGAATCAACATATTTTTCCTTTAAAATGTTACATTTACTCAGACTAAACTTTTGTTCTGTCATCTATGTTACATTACGAATAAAATATTAGATGTTGGCATCTCCACATCATTGCATTCAGTTTTTATTCACAATTTGTTTAGTGTCCCAACTTTTTTGGAATCCGGTTTGTATGTATGTATATATATATATATAATATATATATAATATGTATGTATGTTATATATTTTGTGCAGACTTTTTCAATCTAAATAACAGAAGGATCATTTTTATTTTTATATTTTGAGTCTGAATACTTTATTAAATAAAGTAATTTCAGTCAAATTAACCGTTTTTCTTAGTTTTTATATAATACTGCAAAGCAACATGTTAAGTTAATTTTGTCAAATGAATCACAATGATTTCTGTTTTTTTTTTTTTTTGTATTTTTGTTGTTGTTATATCACAAAATTTATCGTTATCGTCTGAATGCTCTGAAGTGTCACAATATTATATGTGAGCCACATCGCCCACCCCTAGTTGGGGTCATTCCTTAATGTCTATTAAATGCTAAAGCTTTTACTGAAACATCTCCGTGTCAAAACAAAAGAACGTATTTATCTCTGTGGCTCTGATGACGTTCAGAAGCACCTCTTCATATTTAAAGACTGCAGCTCAGACAGGAGAGGGATGGAGAGGACACGAGAGGGAGGAGAGTTGCAGCGCTTTAGTCCTTGCTGTTGTGTGTGTGTGTGTGTGTTTGTTGGATGACCCAGGACCTGCCCAACACAGTGGACATGTGATGCTCACACACAGTACGAATTTAAAACAAAGAGGTGGTTTACTTTTGGAGCTTGCAGTTGCTGAGGCGCAGTGTGTCGCGATCTCCTCGCCCTTCTTACGTCAACATGGAGGGGCTCCACACACACACTCACCCAAACAGCAGCCTGCAGCTAACAGCCTATGAATGCTAACTACACACTCCTGCAAATCAAAGCCTCTAAATAAGCTCTGGGGACTGGTGTGGTTTCAGTGTGAGAAACAGACTGGTTATTATGTCGACTGGTTGAGCAAAGACCGTGATGGTGAGGTAAGAGGAGGCTGCTTTACAACTTTGTTCTGCTTTTGTGTTCAGAATATGTGCAGATGCTTCAAGTTTGTACATTGATCTTGAATTTGTGTGCACGTGAAGGCATCGCTGGGATTACAAATGTTTATTTTTTGCTTGTTTTTGAAGTATTTCCCTCAAAGTGCAACCTCAGTCTCTTCTGCACAACTGATTGTGCATGTTCATGTTTTTGTGCTTTTCTGTTTCCATCTTTGATAACAAGAGTCTAAATGGCTGTGATGTCTCTGTGACATGATTTAATCTCATGTGGCTGTGATTCTGTGCTTTTCTGAGCCACGATGTTGTTGTCAGTACCCACCTGATCAATAAAGCTATATGATGTTTAATCAATATTGTGCAGACTAATGCTGCTTCAGCACTTCCTGCGAGTGCAACCAGAAGGCACGGAGAAAACCTCTTAGTCATAAAGCTTTGCTGAAAGTCCTTCATTCATCTCTGCTGTGGAAGCAGTAAGTCCAGATGCAGTAAAACCTTATCTACGAGCCTGTTTAAAAATGTTTTCATTCAAATGAACATTCTAATGAACCTATTTTCAGATGAGGTGCTGCTGTGGAAATATGCTTCAGTACTGTGATTTGGTAAATTCAGGTCACACTTAAGTTCCAGGTGCTTTGGTACATTTCAGACCCAAATTACTCATTACAAAAGCCACAAGTAGGCCTGTCGCAAACAATAAATCCGTTAATCGCATGGTAAATGAAAATTATCTACCTTATTTTCATTTATCGGCTTTATCGTTTCTTCATGTCTCTTTCTACTGAAGACACTGGATGACAAAAAGCTTCAACTCCGGTGCTCTTCACTGACCCCTCCCTTTCTCTTTTCTCTTTAAAATCCATTTTAGCCGTCCAAAATCACATTTTTTGGATCGTTAAAAGCAGCTCAGCTGAGAAGCTAAGCTACGAACTAAGCTAAAAGGCCGACCTCAGAGAAAAAAAACCTGTTTTGTCAAAGCTCCAAAATTCACGGTTGAAACCCGTGCCTTTGTGTAAAAAGTTTTTCTCTGCAAAAAGAAGCTGAGAATTTGTGTACTGATTTTTTTTTTTCATTAAGTTTTGTGTGAAAAATGCTATTCTAAAGAACCACACCGAGTGTCCGCCATTTTGAGAACCGAAGAGAGACAGCCCGTGTCATGTCAAGGGGCCCCTCTCCCATTTTTCTTAAAGAGACACGCTGCTCATTCCCTCACCATACATCCTTCGGTTCAGTCTTATACTGCCATCCAGTGGTCGAAAAAAGGTACTACATGCAAAACAAATTAAAAATTTATTCTAAAACCTGACAATAATTACTAATCATTGTCAAATTTCAAACAATATTATCGTTTATCGCAATAATTTCTTAGATAATTAATCGCCCAGCAAAATGTGTTATTGTGACAGGCCTAGCCACAAAGCTTTTGTATGGGCATTGCGATCGACTTCTCCGTTCTCCATCGAGTGTTTGCAGTTTTGCTCTTGATCTTCCCTTGGTAATGAATCTGTTTGTTGTTATTTAGTCCCGAGAGCAGGCAGTCGCACACTATTGTCATCTGTTCATCAAATCACTGAACCACAGCACCATGACTTACCTTTTCACAGTTCAGCCAGTCTGACTTTGTTACTACCGTGAGGCACACCAGAGGCTTCAACACACTGTCCATCTTACTAAAACTTTCTGTAATATTTCAGTCTCAAGTGGTTTCATAAAAGCCAACAGACCTCATTGTATTTTCTAAGCCACCAAAGACATTCAGAGTGTAAATCTAAAGATTTTAGTTTAGGAAAAAATCTCACTTATATTTTATTTTGTAAGAGCATTAAATTAAATTAAGTTTTAAAAGGAAACTTCCAAATGCATCTCTGTTTTAGCCCAGAACGATGATCGGTCGATGAGTCCTACGGGTCCCAGTCCAAACCCCAACGTCCCGTCTGAGTATTGCAGCACCATCCCTCCTCTGCAGCAGGCTCAAGCTGCTGGCACTCTGAACTCTCCACCACCAACAGTCATGGTCCCCGTGTCCGTTCTCAAACAGCCGAACAACGATGGTATGAGCGCTCAAAGGTTCTGTTCCTCATCTCTACTTTGAATCTTGGCTTGTTTTCCTGAACTCTCCATGTTTTAATCTGTTATCAGCGTGTCCACGTGAACAGAAGCGGGTGTGGTTCGCTGACGGCATCTTGCCCAACGGAGAGGTGGCAGACACAACCAAGCTGAGCAGCAGGAACTCCCAGGAGTTCAGTTCAGATCCAGAAACGGTAAGAAAAACTTTCACACAACTGTCAAACTAAAGCCTCTTGTTTTAGACGGTTTAAACTTGTGATGAGTGTAAACATTTATTTATTGTCGGAAATAGAAATCTGTCTGTAGAGGTCGACTGGGATCAGTGTAAGAGAAGCCGTTTGTTTGATTTCAGCCTGGCTCATCTGGGTCAGACCCTGGAGTTTGCAGTTCTTCTGCTCCTGATGCCTCTGGAGCTGTAGAGATGGTCCGACCTCCAGTGTCAGGACCCTGGGATTACAGGTTGCTTTCTGGACTTGGTTCTGCAGTAAAGAGGATCCCAAGTCTGCTGCCAGACAGCGAGGATGAGTTACCTCCACTGCTCATCAGCACTGAAGAGGATGGAGGAGATGGTGTGTGTCTTTCACTCGTTCATTTGCTTTAGTTCAGAAGCAAAATATGAAAATAGTTTTTGGGAAACCTGCATCAGTCAAACCAACTACGTAAGGCAGATGGTCATAATGTTGTGGCTTGGTGTTGTATGTAAAGAGTGTTGCCCAAAAACAACCACGAGTTCGTCCTTCTTTGCTAACATCTTTTGGAGGATATTTTTTTCCATTTTGACCAGCCCAACCAGCCACTGTTTCTTGTATTAGTAGGTAATCAAAGTATTTTGAACAGTGAGCGTTGTTCCTTCTGCCAACTGCTAACATAAAAAAGATTTTAAAAATCAAGAGTTCTGTGTTACCTTGACATCACTTCTACAGAAAAAAAAACTCGTTTTTCTTTTTCTCTTTACGCATCTCAAAGGTTTTGTGCTGAACTTTTGTGGATTTGTGTGCCCGAGACTTTGACCTAAAGCTTTCTGTGTTTAGATGTTTTGGTTGAAGAAAGTCCAGCCCCCTGCCAGATCCTGCACCTACTGGAGGAGGGAGGTCCTCGTCCTCTAACATTTGTCCTGAATGCCAACCTGCTGGTCAACGTCAAACTGGTCACTTGTGCGTAGAAGACGAAGCTCCTTGCATGCATGCTGTTCATTGTTTAACAAAGAGTCTTGACATCCCTTCTTCAAACCATTGAATTATTTTTGCGCGTTTCTTTCACCTGTCAGACTCCAACAGGCAGTGCTGGTGCTTGGGCTCCATCGGGCTGCAGGCTCTGGGACAGAAAGAGTTGGTGTTTCTGTTGGAGTGTTTGCCAGGAGAAAAAACTCTCCCAAGGGACCTCTTCTCACTTTATCTCAGCATTTACCAAGATGCCCAGAAAGGTAGGCGGTACAGACAGGATGTTTCTGTTGCTTTAAAAATACTTTTGTTCAACCATTCAGACTGTAAAACTCATTGTCTGCTCCAGGGAAATTTGTGGAGGAGCTGGATAACGTGACATTCACAACCAGTTTTCTGGGCAGTAAAGATCATGCAGGGATGCTGTTCTTCCCTCCCACCTGTCAGTCTCTGGACGGCCTCGCACTCCCCCCACAGTCTTTCCTGTTTGGCCTTCTCATCCAGAAACTGGAGGTACCATGGGCCAAAGTCTTCCCACTCAGACTGCTTCTTCGGCTCGGCTCTGAATACGATGGTGTGTAGTTCACTGTTGTACCTGTGCTACAGCTGTGCTTCTGTTTTCATGTCATGACTTCATTCGGCTGCACTTAGTTTTATGGGTAGAAAATGTTCACGTTGTTTACTATAATTATTTATTACACAAATGTAATAATTTGTGAAATAAACTAATGATCTTTGTTTTCCAGTGTATCCAACTACATTGTTAAGTGTTCGCTTTCGGAACTCTGTGTATCGAGAGACGGGGCACACCATTATGAATTTACTGGCTGTAAGTGCCGCAGTAAAGACAGGTTGTACTCATCTTTTACATCTTCATGAATAATTTCAAGACCCAAAAGAGTCTTACTCATGTTCTCAATTCCACTGAGAACCTGTTGTATATTATTTCTTTTAATAAGGGTTTTTCCTCAAACTGCAGTGAACTAGTACGTACACGGATAAACAAACACTTATTACTGTGTCTAACACTGCACAAAAACTCTCTTTACGAACAATCCATCATCTTTACCCGCTTCTTCCTTTTTGGGTCATGGTAAATGGTAAATGGACTGTACTTATATAGCACATTTCTATCTAAACAAGATACTCAAAGCTCTTTACACTACAACCTGTGCCTCATTTACCCATTCATACAGCACTCTACTAGATCTCTACAAAGCTAATTGAATAAATCATTCTAAAGAGACTAATCAGAGCTTTATCACATTCATACACCAATTGGACACACATTGGAGGCTATGAGGGGTTCAGTGTCTTGCCCATAGACACTTCGGCATGTGACTGCTGGTGGATTCGAATCCCCAACTCTTGCATCGGAGGACGACTGCTCTAACCACTCAGCCACAGCCACAGTAAGGTCATGGGGGTCACTGATGCCCATGTCCAGCAATCACTGTGCGATGTCCAGCAATCACTGTGCGAGAGTCAGGGGGCAACCTGGACAGGTCTCCAGTCCATCATAGGGACACATAGAGACAAATGAGACAAACAACCATTCACTCTCTCACTCACACCTAGGGACAATTTAGAGTCACCAATCAGTCTAACATGCATGTTTTTGGTCTGTGGAAGGAAACTGGAGTACCTGGAGTAAACCCACGCATGCACGGAGAGAATATGCAAACTCCACCCAGAAAGGTCCCGGGCCAGGATTCGATCCGGCGAGCTTCTCTCTGAGAGGCGGCAGCTCTACCAACTGATCCACTGTGCCGTTGTCTTTACAAACAAAACCTCTTGGATAGCAACTTAGGATATTTTACTACAGAATTAAAAAAAAAATTCACTCCACAACAGTTTTAACACGGGCTGATTTATTATTATTTATTGAGAGTACCTCAGTGCATCTGATCACCAAAAATCAATCTGATAAGTGAACATTGGCTCTAACTGATTACAGGATAGTTATTTGCTCACATCAGCCTTGCAGGTGCTTTGAATGCACACTGATATAAGTAGGACAAAAACTCTACATAACAATTCATAGTAGGAACAAGAAAGATGAAAATTCCAGATTTCCAGATGTGCATTTTTGCCCTCCAGGACTTAAGAAACTATCAGTACAGCCTGCCAGTGGTGGAGGGTCTGAGGATCCATATGGAGATGGGCCACATCTACATTGATATCCCCAAAAGTAGCTTTAATGAGGTGAGGGAATCTCACTTATCAGTTTTCACCTGGAACTGGTTGAAACCACACACAAAGGAAAACTTGCAAACATGCTGCAGTGTAACACTGACTGTTTTTGTTGATACAGATGCAGAAGGTGGTAAATTCATCCAACGAGCATGTCATCAGCATCGGGGCAAGTTTCAGCCAGCAGGCCGACTCCCACCTGGTGTGTCTCCAGAACGAGGAGGGAAACTATCAGACACAGGCCAACAGCATGCCGGAGATGACTCGCACTGGTGAGTGTTCTTCATCCTCATCATCTGTTTCAGAAAAAATAACAACGAGGAGTTCAAATAATTCTTTAAAGCTGCATCTTTAATCAGTTTTATTTGGTGGTGTTTATTCTGACAGTGACAGGAGCCAGTTTTGTTGTGTTTAATGGAGCGCTGAAAGCCTCCTCTGGCTTCATTGCCAAGTCCAGCATCGTTGAAGGTACCTATTTCAGCTCTTTTTGTATGTCGGTGAGGGAAAATATATTAGGTCTCAAATGTGTTTCTGTTTTGTTGATTTTCAGATGGGTTAATGGTTCAGATCCCTCCAGAGACCATGGAGTCTCTGCGCTCAGCCCTGAGAGAAAAGACTGACTTCCACATACCCTGCGGCAAGAACGATGGTGGGGAGGTCAGAGAGAACGTCACGATCCGCTGGGTTGACTGGACTTCACCCATCAACTCTGGGTAACACACACTCATGTGTAATCTGTTTACATGCACATGCTATTAGCAGACAAGTTCTGGCTCTTGTTTTACTGGAGAAAGTCCAATAAATAATAGTGTGACCGGAGACCAGACAAGCTTTCTAACAAATACTTGTCAACACCTCAGTCATGAGCATGAGCCATTCTGTATCTGTTCCAGAATTGGAAATGTTAATTCATGTTTTTGTTTCTTCTCGCCTGGATTTTTGTAATGCTCTATATATATGTTTAACCAAAACCTCCCTAGACTGGTTGCAGTCTGTACAGAATGCTGCTAGACTCCTGACTGGATCTTCAAAGTTTTGTCATATAACTCCACTTCTAAAGCAACTTCATTGGCTCCCAGTTCATTATCGAGTGGATTTCAAGGTTTTGGTTTTGACTTGGTGAACTCTGCATGGACAGACACCAATTTACATCTCAGAACTTTTACATCCCTACACCCCGATCAGGGCTTTGAGGTCCTGTGATCAAGACCTGCTGATTGTCCCCCAGACAAAACTAAAAGGGACGGAGCCTTTTCTTCTGTGTCTCCAAGACTCTGGAACTCCCTTCCTCTGTGCGCCGAGTCGAACCGTTCTGTACCGGTACTAATGGAAAAGGGGGCAAAACTCTCAGGATGCATTCACACCAGCCCTGTTTAGTCCGCTTTAATAGAACCCGTTTGCCTAGAAAGTCTGGTTCGTTTGGAGAGGTGCGAATGTGCAATCGAACTCTGATGCGGACCAAAAAAGTGAACTCTGGTACAACTAAATACCTAGGTCTCGGTCCGGTTGAAGCATAGGTGTTGCAACCATTATATTTGAAGGGGACATGTCCCCCCCACATTAAAAAAACGTTCATTTGGACCCCCCACTTTTGCTATGAAACATTAGTTCAGGCGGCACAGTTTCTCTTTCTTCGTGAACGAATCCATTCCACTTGATCAATAGGAGAATACTCAATCTAATAAAACTCCACTCCAGGTTTTCCTGGTTACCTCCAACTCACTGTTTCTCCTCTTCCAGTGCCATAGAGAGAGACTCTTTATAGGGCTCTGTCCTCTACGTCTCCTCCTGCCTCAGCAGAAAACGTGCACAGGTGGAGGAGGTGGAGACACCTCTGTGTTGCTCACTGGCCAGTTTAGCGAGTTTTTGCGGGCAGTTGTTGACCGGGGGGGGTTTGATCATCAACATATATTCATGTTAGGAGGATGTTTGAGAGGAGCGCTACGTCTGTATCTTAGCTCAGCAGTAACTGACGCTGTGAGACGCTGCAGGTGCAAGAGACGCTGTGTGTTCAGGTGCATTAAAGTTGAAATGTCTTTAAAACCCCACACCTTATTGTCCTCAAGCTTCATGAGAAACATCATTTAGATGAGGAGTGTTGAACACAAGTAAAAAAGTCCAGTGCTGATGTTTTTTATTTCTCTATAAACAAATAGTGCTGACCTGATGCTCTGTATTAAAGTTAAAATGTCTTTAAAACCTGCAGCTGAATTTACACAAACTTGGTGAGAAACATACTTAAAATGTGTGGAATTAAAGCAAATCTAGGTGAAATGCTGCTTTTAGTGTACACTTTTTTTACGCGTGCGCACACACCTAGACATCATTGTGTCCCCCCCACATTGCGGATGCTTCTGACGCCCTTGGGCTGAAGTGAACTGGAATACGGTTCGAATGCATTGTGAATGCAAGCGGACCAGAGACCGCTCCAAAAGCAGGAAGTGGTTGACAGCGCAGGGCATTCTGGGTAAATACAACCAAAACAAACGCACATTTCTCATACAGAGCTGTCTCATCCGCATCGTGTGAAAAACAACATTCTTCATTCTTCTTTTTTTGTTTGTTTTGTTTTGTTTTGTTTTTTGAATGTCCAGAGGACCAAACTTAACTTTTTAGATTTTTCTACCTGGATTATTGAGCCTGTATCAGAACATTCTCCATGGTCTTCTGCCTCATCTTCCGCTCATGCTGAGTCCATTGTTGAAAAATGGCAAAACAGAAATCTTATTAAAATTACCATTAAAATTTGACACCACTCCATGATTTTTGTTTTATTTTCAGAAGTAAGTTGCGTTCAGTGTCTTCTTCAGAGGGTTTTGTGTTGTTTCCTTCAGTAGTTCTTGGTGCGGCGCCACCACAGGCGAGGGGGGGAGCAGGTTGGCTCGACTGACTCAGTGCAGTGTGAATGCGAACCCCACCAGCTGAAAATGTAAACAAATGTTATGAATTTTGATCCCCAATTGAACTGAGTCTACCAGACTATCTGGTGTGAAAACGACCTGATCAGTGGACTCAGTGACTTCGTTTAAAGGCCAGCTAAAAAAAAATTAAATCTGCTTTTGCTTAAATTTGTTTTGTGCATTTTGTTATTTTGTTTGTTGAAGCACTTTGTGATTTTTATCTTGAGAAGTGCTATATAAATAAAGTTTTTAGGGCTGCACGATATGGGATTTTTGGCCGATGTCTGATATGCCAATATGTTAAAACTTATTTGGCCGATAACCAATATAAATACAGATATTTTTTATATACTTTCCTTTGTCAGAACATATTCCTCTTATTTAGGCTGATTTGATACAAAAATTGTGCAACCAACTGTAAGAGCTGGTGACATATTCAGTAACAGCCATATGATATGCACTTTAACTTATATTAAATGAAAAGTGTTAAATGTTATTCATTAGCATTAGTCACATGCGATGCTGTCTCACTTGTGGAGGCTTGTTCCAGGTTCCTAGCTGCAGTGTGGGATCTTCTGCACTCTTGTTCATGAAGGACAGACTTTATAAATTCAAAGTTTTTGTCTATCCATTGTGCCGTAAGACTAATCATGCTAACGGGGCTAACACTTGATGTCTGTGGTAAAACTCACCCAAGTACTATTGGCTATTAGCTTCTCAATGATGTCGGAAATGATGGCTTGTAACTCGAGTAAGGCTATGTCGGAAAAATATCTCTGACTGGGGACGATGTCGCGAGGCTCAGTGAAACTAACCTGTATAAATAAAGGTTGAATGAATGTAGCAATGCTCAATGTAGTCAAAAATCTTCAGAATCCTCACCAATGAAAATAAACCTTCCTAACTACCGACATTTTGAATTTTCCTCTCCACCATGAGATCAGGTAGGCGCACGTGACATCATCACGTTGTGCTGCCGCTGCAGGCATCCTTGTCACTGGGTTGTCATACAAAAACAGCGCCTTTTTATATCAATGTTATTTTGATGGAATGGCCGATGTTCGATATTAAACTTTAACGCTAAAATCAGCCGATACCGATACCATGCCGATAATATCATGCATCCCTAAAAGTTTTACTTACAATAAAGGCGCAACAAAGACTCATTTGTTTGTTTCAAACAATGTAGAAACCAGTTTGTGCGTACATTAGAGGTATAATTGCACATTTTTTTGGTCGGAGCTGTCGCGGCACAGACGTTTTGGCACATGTACGTTGACGTACACAACAAAGAAGTAGTCAGTGATCACTGCTTCCATCTTGAAGCTGCGATCAGCCACAACTAGGAAAACATCAGAGGAAAATAATGTTAGCACATTCTACGTCAAAGCATGAATGACTGACTATTTATTAATCAATGACATAATTAATTATTCAATATTGTTATTAATGACTGATACTAAGAGCCTACCGAAGTGCAGCTCTTTTTAAACGATGCAATCAACGTGATGTTCATCAGGACTGAAAGAACAAGCTGACCAAACAAACATGGGTTGCTCTCTTGTTGCCACTGATCTGACACTAGTGAAAAAAATGTTTAATAAAAAAATAACAAACAGTAACTAAATCAGAGGGAATGAATGAGGGAGTTTGGCAAGCTAACATCTAGAAACACGTTTAAGTAGTACAGTTTAGATTAATATGATGCTCTCAAGACATTTTAAATGACAATTTTGCTTTGGAAAGAGGGCTGTTTAAACAGGTCTTTATTATCTGAATATGAGCTTAAAATAGTTCTGCTTGTAAAAAGGATCTGTCACTGAGTAGTTGAAAATGTTTTATTACTTTATGAATAATTAAATTTTCTGTCATTTTCTGAAGCAGAACTAGCGGCGTCGATGGGAGACCACTGGATGGCGTCCACAGTGTAAAGATGCAGCAGGATGCTGAATTTAAGTCTGACGGTCGCACCATCAGATGCACTGAGGTGAATTGTCATGTTTAATAAACAAAGCCTTTACGACTCCAGATGTGTGACCTGAGCTGAAATTGTCTGCAGGTGTTCTACCAGCTGAAGTCTCCTGACTGCAGCCTGGCGTCGGTTCTGTCGTCCTGCAGCGTGTTTCAGAAGGAGATCGCTTTGGCCACCTGCAGCGCTCTGACTCCTCACCTGTCTGTTCTTACCTGCAGCGGCATCAACTCCCTCTCGCTTCGCATCTCAACTCAGGCTGACATGGTAAAAACTAAAACCTGCACGTCTTACCACGACCTAAAAACCTCTGGATTCAGTTTCACAACAAACTGCGTCTGACCGTACAGTCAAAGTTCAGACTGTGAGTTAGTTTGGTTTACATGCAGTTTTATTTCCTACAGGAAATTTTAAGTTTCCTTTACAAGTTTGCATTCACTACTCCTCAGGCTGCTTTGAAAAAAAAACCTATAGAAACATTAAAACATGCAGTTTGGTTAAGAATAGTGTGCTGTGACCTTTGGTCCAAGTCGTTTATAAAGCATAGACATAGTTAGAAAAGAAACTACAAAGAATTTCTGCTTTCACATCCGTCAGAAAATAAGGGAGAAAACCCAGCCCTCTCTGAATCTCTGTAGCTTAAACACACTCCATGAAAATAATATTTAAATTTACTATACCATCTTCTAGTCAGTAGTCAGATCACAGAGGCAACAGGTCCAGAAGAGAAGCACAGACCTTTGACTTCCTAGCAACACTTTCCAGTTCCTCCTGGGGGGACTCTGAGGCATTTCCAGGCCAGAGCAGATTCACCATCCCTCCCAGCGACTTCTGGTCTTCCCCAGGGCCTCCTACCAGAGGGACGTGCCCAGAGAACGTCTAAAGAGAGGCATTCAGGAGACATCCTAATTAAATTCCTGAACCACCTCAAATGACTCATTTCGATGAGGAGGAGCAGCGGCTCTACTCCGAGCTCCCCCCGGATGACGGAGCTCTTCACCCTTCCTTTAAGGCTGAGCCCGGGCGCCGTATGAAGGAAGCTCATTTCAGCTACTTGTGTCAGGGATCACGTTGTTTCGAACATGATCTAAAACTCATGTCCACAGGTGAGGGACGTATTGTAGATAAACCAGGAAATCAAAAGCTTTGCCTTTCGACTCAACTCTTTCTTCACCCTTGCCAACCGAAGCAACACTCGCATTAACGAGGACAAGACCCTAGTCCGTCGATTCATCTCCCGCTCCATCCTACCATCACTCGTGAACAAGACGCCCAGATACTTACTGGTAAACTCCTTCACCCGAGGCCAAGACGCCCCCAGATTTAGATTTTAAATTATGAATTTTAATCAGAATTTCTTGTTGATCCCAAGAAAGATTTTTGCACAAACACGGATTAAGTTTAGTGTTTTGGGTCCACATTATCCCAGTTTATTTAACTGTGTGCGACCATGTCTCACACTAACCTTTGAGCTGTATAAACTAAAATAAAATTCAAATTATTATTTCCACTTCCTGTACGGTACAAACATCAGATTATATGCTCTACGACTCGTGCTTTTCACTCAGATCCCCTGCAGTGTGCACACATCTAATCTCTCCTTGACTTCCAGAGTATCTGAGCTCAGAATTTTATCTGAAATCCTCAAAACTGGAAGTAAAGTGTCATTTTAACATGTTTCCTACATGAAACAATAGATTGGAAGAGATATTACTTCAGAAGTAATAACTACTCTTGACTTTATGGAAGATTTTGATTTTATGTTTAAATTTTGGACAGTAGCCTTTTTTGCTAAATAAATGACACCATATATTTTCCCAACATATTGGTTATTTAAAAAAGTCTTTAAATGCCATTGTATTACATAGCCACAATGTTCAGCTGGTACATGATGGTATTTATTTGGTTTTCGTTCTTTTAAATTATTAAAACTTTCCAAACACTCAGGAGTTTGATCATTCAATATATTTTGGAGGTTGCCAGGTGAGGTCTGGCCTGAACTTTGAGAATAATTTCAAATTGAGAATTGTCTCGTGCTCTTGTGAAAACGTGTTGAGTTGTTTCTGCTCCTCAGGTGGAGTACCAGGCTGGTTCTGGAGGCAGGCTCCTCCCTCAGCACTACATGAACGAGATGGACGGCGCTCTGATCCCAGTCATCCACGGAGGTAGTGCTAGTGTTCCTCAGACCACCATGGACATGGAGTTCATCTTCTACATCACGCACGTTATTTAACAAAAGACTGCAACACCCAAGTATTGAACTAAAACACTGAACCAGACGGTGCAGCTGCTGGTTTTTCTGGTCACTCAAAACGCTCCGACCTCAATCTGATCCCACTCTGAGACTGGACGCGTTGTAGAGCTAAATTTAAAGTGGACGTCTGTTTGTCGCGCTCACCAAAGCTGCTTTAATACATGAAGCCAAACACTAAACCTGGAACATGTCAGGAACCAAACCATCCCTCTGCTCTGCCTTCCTGGCTCTCTGCTGGCCTCCTGCAGCTCGGAGCTTCTCACTGAATGTTTCTCACAAATGTCTCCCATCTGGATGTATTTATTATATTTTAATACGGGCTTACTGAATGAAACGACAAGCGAATTAGTCGGGTGCTATTATAATGATCCTTCATATGCACGGCTGCCTCTGTTGCTGCGAGGGTGAGAAAGTTCATGATTTTGTCTAATTTCAGATTCTGGTTTCCACACAGACACAGAGATCCTCGTGCAGGACGGCTTTATTTTTCAGTTCAGATCCTCTTCACCTTGACTTGCTGTCTCAGAAGCTTTCTAATGCTGGTGATCATCAGTCAGATTCAAACTCTACATAACATTTTCAAGTGTTCTGTCACCTTTTCTCTTTTATGTAACTAAAACTTGTCCATAAATGTTAAAACTCTGTGCTTGAAGTTTGCTACCACAAATAAGGCAAAGCAATACATATTTAGCAATATAAATATTCAAATAATACAACCCAAGACAACTTATAAGCATTTATAACCCCTAAATTGTAGCTCTCTCCAAAGTTGATTAGAAATTAAAAGCCTTGAAGATTCCCCTCACAGTGAAAATGAAGTTGGTATGATCTCAGCTGATAAATGTCTCTTATCAATTTGCACCTTGACCAAATGTTTTCTACGCCTGTCGAAAGGTGATAGTCTCCGTCCATACTTACAATAACTTTGTCTTGTCCTGCCAAATACTTCCGATGTGCTTAAGATAATTTAATGAAACAAGATGCACATTTGTAGACAGCTGGTCACCTAATCTTTTCATCATCTAAGGTCAAGGTCAAAGGTTATACAAGGCCTTTGCTTGTCCGGGCCATGGCTATAGTTTGTTGTATTGCTGTATAGTAGTTTGTCGTCGGCATATAATGTGCTGTAAATACCTTACTCTTATTATAGCTAACCTCAAGCTTCTGGTATAAGTCTGGCTGAATATTTGACCACTCTTGTTGGCAGAATTGACTGAGATCATTTAAACTGGTTAGTTTCCCATAATGGACCTGACTTTTAATCACAGTCTACAAACTTTTAACGGGGCTGAGGTCAGGGCTTTGGGAACATCATTGCTGAAGCTTCATGTTAGCGGCTTTATCCAATCAGAAACTAGTTTTAGGTGCATTTGAGATTGTTGACTATGATTATTGGAACGCTCAGTCTTGTCCACATTTCTCTTAGTTGACACTCGCGGCATGATGCCACCACCACCACCACCACCATGCCTGACAGTTGGTACATAGTTGAGCCCTAGTGGTTCCCAAACATTGGAGGACAGTTTCCTTTCTTCTGAGATTGTAAGAGAAGTTGAAATCAGGCCAGTGAGAACAAATCTTTTATGTTGGCAAAAAGAAACTACCAGCTGCGGTCAGTCATGATCACCAAAAGTGTTTTAGTCCTTCAGCACCACTTGGTAAAGGATTTATTTGTATGTATCAGAGCCTGTATCTATAGTTTAATGATTTTTTTTGTTATAATTAGTGTATGTAAACTTCTGTCTTCTTGAAGTTGCTCTTTAAAAGGTTGCAGGAAACTACGAAAGTCACAAAATGCTGACAGATTAGAAACATTTAGTAACTATTTAAATTTGTACATCTGCGCCTCCTTTCGGTTTGTGTTGCTCGTTCTAAAATGAACGCAGAAAGCACGTATCTTTGACCGCTTTTTCAAGTTAACGTTTGCTGAAAAATATTACCAACTCAAAATGAATCTGATTATTTTCACCAGCAGGGAAAGTCCACCTGAACCTGAAAAACCCAGACATTTAAACTGACTTCTGGTGTTTAAAAAAAAGTTCAACCACACACAAATGACAAACTTCAGCATCAGCAGGTCATGGCTGTTTAGTCTGGAAACCAAGATCAGTGTCATTTCTACGTAGGAGCTCCGCAGGCCCCTCTTGAAGGTCTGTGTGTACCTAAACATGCTTTTCTGCACGAGGCTCGCTGTGCGTTCCTGCCGTGGAGTCGGCTGTTTCTGTAATCAACATCTTGAACTTCTACTTCATACGAGATTTCTCCCAAAGTTTCTTTGACGTTTGAGAGGTGTTCAGGTGTGAACGTCAACGTCACAGCTTCCTGATGTGGATGAACGTTAGAAGCTGCAGCTTCATCTGGACACGGTTGGAAACAGATCTTAAAGGAATTCATGTATTTCTTGAGGCTCCTGATAACGAGACTTCAAACAGAATGATGATTAGCTCATATATGCAGCGCCCTGACAGCTTTAATTTAGTTTTCTCACGCGAGATTGATTCAAAAGTTGACCTGGTATTTACACGTTTTTATCAGTATTCATCCAAGTGTCATAGAAACGCTCACACTGAGCTGATCATATGAACGGGAAATGATTGAGTAATGCACAGCAGTGATTTGATGCAAGTTTAGAACTTGTTGTAAACGTGACAGACAATGGAGGGAACTTTATTCTGTTCAGTGCAAACAAACTCAGCCAGCCAACACTTCTAAAGTTCACAAATCATCATTATTTAAAGCAGTGGTTCCCAACACTGGTCCTTGAGGAACACCATCCTGCATATTTTATTTGTTTCTCTGCTTGATCACACCTTATTCAGTGATTTAATTACTTCCTCAAGTTCTGCAGAAGCCTGTTAATCACCCGTTCATTCAAATCAGGTGTGCTGGAGCAGAGAAGCATCATGCGGGATGGTGTTCCTCAAGGACCAGTGTTGGGAACCACTGATTTAAAGTATTAAAGTTTTCCCATTTTTCTCCTGGAGCTAAAACTGTCTTTAAAAGCTTTAGACGCTAAAGTGTTTTAATTGAAGTCCTCGTTGCTAATTCAGATCACTTCAGCAACGTGAAAACAGCAAACAGCTCTGAGCCTTTTTGTTTTAATCAGATTTACATCAAATTATACGCAACCCATTCACTGTTTTCAGGCCCGCCATTTACTGGAAAACGGTGATAAATAATATTAACATACTGGGATTTAAGCTAACTGTACATGTACTTTTATTTTAAAGGAGCAGTAGTGAACACTGCTCCTTTAAAATAAAAAATTCCCTTCAAAAAACGCTGAACCCGCGCCATGCTGATATCAAAAATACACAAAACTGTTTAGGCCTGACCCAATTTTTTTCCCCTTAATTACTTTTCGTTGTTACTCCAGCACACAGTGAAAATTTGACAACAATGGGATCAGGATAAAGTGAATTAGGTTAATAAAACCAGTAAAAACTGCTTCATTGTGGTTTGGTGCACAAAGTGATAGTGGGCATATCCAGCTGCTGGTTTAAAGCTCCACATTTTGTCCAAAAAAAAAAAGTATCAGTTTTTCTCATCAAAAACTGTTGACAGAAGGTGCAAGAGTTGCATAAAATCAGTTTTAATCGCATATCCTGAGTAGTTTAGACAGGCTTAAAATAAAGTTGGGCTGATATGGAATGATGGGCGGAGCCTGATCAGGCCACTAGGATTGACCAATCAGAACTAACTTGTCTTTTGGAGAACGATGGCTGCTTGAAGTTCTATTTGATGGGACCTTACAGAACTTTCGGCTGTTCTTTCAGAGGAGCGTTAATTATTACTTCTTGTCAACAGCTGAGAGTTTGTTGAAGCAGCTTCGTGCCGTCCCCTCAGTCCCAGGACGGAGCTGCAGCTTCTGTTTTAGGGCAAAGTGGAACGTTTCACGTCTCGTCTGACCCATCGTCAGCTTTGTCCAAATATATAAAACCATGTATCAAAAGGTTTTTTTGTTTGTTTATTTTTTATATATTATAGAGGTATTTTTGGAATAGTTGAAATGAATAAAGGTCACATTTTTAATGGGGGTGCATTATTAATGAAATGTTTTGTGCTTTAGTTTGACCCAGCAGTAACTCCTGCAGCTCTGAGCTTAGAGTGTCTCTACACATCCTAATTCAGTTGGGTTACTTTTGGATGAACGTGCATGAAATAAGACATTTAATATAAAAATAATAATAAGCAGAGACAGCAGAAAACTATATTGACACAAGCTTCATGGGTCCCATCTGTTCTGACGTCCTGTTCAAACCAGCATTCGTAATGCAAACACGTTATTTAGCCTTGATGAAGTTTCTGCTCAGCACGAGTTGTTTAGGCAACGACGGAGAGGATCAACTGGTGTAACCACCTGTTCTGATCAGTCTTGCAGGTGGGGATGTCAGCCTGTCAGGTAGAAACAACTGGTACCTGCGTGGGTACCAAACCTTTCTTTTATTTAAACTGGGTTGTAACGTCACCTAGAAATGATCTTTTCACACTCCGCTCCTTCATTTCTGCCATTTACTGTATGATGACTCCATGCCAGTGATCTGGTCTTTAGTGGGTTAAAAGATTCAAGTCTAACCTCAAGTGTACAAAAACAAACAGATTCCATCATTTCATTGTTCAATCAGCACAAAGTGAAAATGTAAAAGCTGTGGGATGGTTGTGGAGGAGCTTTGGCCTACTCTTCTTTACAACTTTGCTTCAATTCATTTAGTTTAAAGCCATTTGTTTCTGTCTTAACATCCCACCACAGTGTTGTATTTGAGTTGAGCTCTGCATTTTGTCTGGACCATTACAACGCCTCGACTCTTTTCTTTTTGAGCCGGTCTGTTGTAGATTAGCTGCGTTTGGCATCGTTGTTCTGTTTTATGACACGGTTTGGTTCAGTTGTTGGACAGATGGACTCACATTCGACACCAGAATCTTTTGGTCCACAGAGGAGTTCATGGTCGACTCTTTAACTGTAAAGTCCTGTGGCTGCAAAGCAAACCCAAATCATTACCCCTCCACCACCGTGCTCAACATGTTGATCAAGTGTTTTAAATGGTGTCCACTTCCTCCCTGTACGATAGTGAACTCCAGACCTTTTGAAAATGCTCTTAATAACGCTTTACAGATTTATG